CCGCTCCCTGTAGCTGGCTGTCCCTGGCCCACAACCGCATCCAGGACAAGGGCGCCCGGAAGCTGGCCGAGGTGGGCGTGCCGCCTGGGCGGGGCCGGGGAGCGACCCGGTTCCCGGGGCGTCTGATCACAAGGTGTCGCCTGGCCGCAGGTCCTGCGCCCCTTCGAGCTGACGCACGCCGAGGTGGTGCAGCGCCGGCGCCTCCTGCTGGAGAAAGGGTCGCAGGAGCGATCGCGATCGGTGAGGAGCGCCCGGAGCATCCGGCACCACTTCCCAGGCCGGCTGCTTTTCAGGAAGCTGGCTGTGTCCTCATCCGTCCTCTCTCCCTCTGCCGTGGCTGCTTTTCTCTCCGACCTCTGCACAAATCTAACGTTTGGGCTCTAACTGCAAAACCGCTCCACGGGCGGTGGAGGGTATTGGTCGGGGGGAAGGACCAGATTTAGACTGCAGGGACTGGAAACCCGGCTCTTCTACAAAACAACTTGGGACCTCGGGCATGTGACTTAACCTCTGGGGCCTCAGTTTCCTGATTTGTAAATTGGGGATAACTGTACCTATCTCACCGGATTGTTGAGAGGATTAAATGAGTTAATTCATCTAATGCATGAGGAACAGTGCTTGACACTTAGTTAAAAAATGTTAGCTGCTCTTTTCTTCCTCAATGTAAAAGTCTGAATGCCACACCCCAACCCCTACCCCCAGGTCCCTCTGCCATTTCTTTCCAACAGCACCTGCCCTAGAGGTGTCCCAAACAAATTATGCCAGCATTGAGGCAGGGAGATGGGAGTGGGGGTGCTGCCAGTATGGCTGCCGCCCAGATGTGGGGCTTCCCCTCACCCCTCACTGAGGAAGGGGCGCTAGCTTCGTCCTCCATCCCCTCCCATTTGTGAATGCAGCCCTCCAGCTCTCGACATGGGGACTCCAAAACAGAACGTGAGAAGAATCAGCTGATGGGGGTCAGCAGTTTTGCACTGATGGACAAGACAGACAAGACACAGACAACGAAGACCCCCAGGGGCCTGGGCAAGAAAAAGGAGAAGTCAGGGGTAGGTGTGCTGTGGGCAACAACAGAACCCCGGGCACGGGAGGAACAGGGGAGGAAGCTTCCTGTGCACAGGTGGGATGGCGGATGGCCTTCGAAGGTCCATCTCCGGCCCAGGGTCCTGATGCTGACCCCTTCCTATACCTGCTCCCCATCCTCCAGGGAGGTAGGACTCTCATCTCTCTTACATCCTCCACAGGAAGTGATGAAGAAAGAGGAGAAGACAGGGTCTGGGCAGTCCCCCATACAAGGAACCCCGAAGAAAGAAGACTCCACAAAGGCAGGCAAGGGGAGTAAGTGCTAGCACCCCTCTGTGGCACCCGCTTAGTGTGGAGGAGGAGGAAGGAGCCCCAGGCAGGATGCAGGAGGCCTGCCTTGAGCAAGTCTGATGATCAAGTGCTGCAGGAAGCCCCAGCCGCTCCACATCCCGACCAGCAACATTCCACACCTTGTTTCCCTCCGCTGGACCCCTGTGGCCCTGCCCTCAAGGCCTACCTAGCTAGGGACCCCCTCCAGCTCTGTTTCTGTTGCTCCCAAACCCGAAGTTTGAGGAATCCCCTTCCTCGCTCCAGCCCATTCCGTCTAGGGAAACTGGGTGGTGCCGAGGTCTGCACTGTGTATTCTGGCTCCTCTTCCCACTCCAGAGGTAACCATCCCTGAACAGAAAGTAAGCAAGGGAAAAGGACCCAAGACTGGGAGCAAAGAGAAGCGCAGCATCCTCCAGGAATCAGAGGTAGGCTGCAGGACAAGTGGGGTGGGGAGCACATCCCCGGGGTCCAGGCAGCCCTGTACTGTGGCAGCAGCCACTTCAACTCACACGTGTCCTCACTCCTGCCCCCTCCCCATCCCAACTTGGGCTTGCTGGGGGTAACAGAGCTCAGTGCCCTATCCCCTACTATTTCTCCTTGCATATTAGGAGCCCACACTTTCGATCCTCTGCCACAACTGAGTCTGTTCCCCAAAAGGCCATTGGTTCATCACCACTGCATCTACACTTGCTTGTACAGTTGCTCAGGGAATAAAGCACATTCTCCTGTCTCTTCTGACAGCTCCCCAGGAAGGTGGGGCATTTTCACAGTCATGGTACTGCCCCCACCCTGGGAG